CCCCCCGGTACACCTTCCACCCCAACCCCGGACGATCGCGGGGGGGCCCGGCCCCGCGCCTGCGGCCCGAGCCACGAAGGCTCCCAGCAGCGTCCAGCCGGTCCGCCCCCGCGGCCCCCGGGTCTGCTCCGGTCCCCCTCCCCGGACAGGGCGCACACGCTACCGGAGGACGTGGGCAGCAGGAGGAGAAGCGCCAGGGGAAGCACCCCGACGAAGCGCCCAGAAGAAGCCAGTCTTTCGGGGAGGCGGAGCGGCGCCTTGCGCGCTGCGCAAGACGCCCTCATTTTCGGGGAGACCAGCGGGACACCCGAGACAGCTCCGCAGAGACTCGCTGAGTCCAGTTCCCGGCTATACAAGAGTCGGACGCAGCAGCTGCGCGGGCGGCCGGAGCCCCCGGGCTCGCCCAGGGCGGAAGTGACACGGGAGAAGCGGGCGAGGCCGATGGGCCGGCGGCCCCCTCCCAAAGGCCTGCAGGGGAGGGGCGTGGCCTTTCCCCGCCCCGTGCGCGGGAAGTGCTGCGCGTCCCGCGGGGACCCTGACGGCCTCTGGCTCCGCCCTCGACTGCCTCTAGCTCCGCCCTCTTGCGGACCTACCCGGAAGCCGCTGCGGCGTGCGGGAAATAGCTGGTTTCCCCGGGCTGGGCGTTGTTAAAAGGGACTGTTAACGCCCTGTGTAGGAAGGGTGGGACGGAAACTCGAGGTGGCGTTGTCATCGGTGATCGTTTTCCGGAAGGCTGGATTAAAGAATAAAGGGCAGAGACCTAAAAATAGAACCCTAGAGCTCGGGCAGGGGGAGCAGACATCCCCTCAAGACCCCATTTTGGCCCTGGGATCCAGTGTCAGGACACCCCTGCCCTTGCGCAGACTTTGGCTTGAGTCAGTGTCAACTATAAATTGGCACTTACCAAGAGCCCTGCTGACTACTGAACAGCGAAGGCATTTGCCACCTGCCTCTAGGGAGACTGAACCCCATGCTGCTGGAAATGTTGACCTTCAACAACCCCAGAGGGAGTTCAGGGTGGAGTGAGGCTCTTTGTCCTCCAGGGAATCTGGTGGGACAGGGCTTTGGATAGTTGGATGTTTTTAGGAACAGATTTTATGATCTCAATCCTTGCATCTCCTCATAGCTAGAGAAGCACTAAATCCCTTCATGGTGACATCAGATCCTCATGACTAACAAATACCTTTTTGCTTGTTTTTTTTTTTAAGGGGTGATGGGTATATTCATTATCTTTATTGTGATGGGTGGGGAGTGTCAAAACTTACCAAATTATACATTTTTCCATTAGTTTTGCAATTTATTTATTTTTAAATTTATTTATTTTAATTGGACACTAATTACTTTACAATATTATATTGATTTTGTCATACATTGACATGAATCCGCCACGGGTGTACATGTGTTTCCCATCCTGAACCCTGGTCCCACCTCCCTCCCCATCCCATCCCTCTGGGTCACCCCAGTGCACCAGCCCGGAGCACCCCGTATCATGCATCGAACCTGGGCTAGCGATCTATTTCACATATGATAATATACATGTTTCAGTGCTATTCTCTCAAATGATCCCACCCTCACCTTCTCCCACAGAGTCCAAAAGTCTGTTCTTTACATCTGTGTGTCTTTTGCTGTCTCGCATATAGGACCATCGTTACCATCTTTCTAAATCCAATATTATATATATATGTGTGTGTGTGTGTGTGTGTGTTAGCATACTGTATTGGTGTTTTTCTTTCTGGCTTACTTCACCCTGTATAATAGACTCCAGTTTCATCCACCTCATTAGAACTGATTCAAATGTATTCTTTTTAACAGCTGAGTAATATTCCATGGTGTATATGTACCACAGCTTCCTTATCCATTCATCTGCCGATGGACATCTAGGTTGCTTCCATGTCCTGGCTATTATAAACAGTGCTGTGATGAACACTGGGGTACTCGTGTCTCTTTCAGTTCTGGTTTCCTCGGTGTGTATGCCCAGCAGTGGGATTGCTGGGTGGTATGACAGTTCTATTTCCAGTTTTTAAAGGAATCTCCACACTGTTCTCCATAGTGGCTGTACTAGTTTGCATTCCTACCAACAGTGTAAGAGGGTTCCCTTTTCTCCATACGCTCTCCAGCATTTGTTGCTTGTAGACTTTTGAATAGCAGCCATCCTGACTGACGTGTAATGNTTAAAGAGCAGACAAAGGAGTTGACATTTTCTTGGTAATAGTTGGTAAAGGATAAAAATGTCAACCAGTGTGTAAACATTGCAGGCCAGGGGAACCAGTACCCTCAAACTTTTAGTTTTTAACATCACTTTTTGCTTGGTTTAAAATTTTAAATGGACATGACTTTGAAACCACTAGTTCCATTTAGAGTTTACCCCAAGGAAATCATCAGAGTTGTGAACAAAGAGGTATAATTTTGGATAAACTCTTAAATATTTGGCAGAAGTATAAGATTTTTTGATAGGTATCTTTCTGAAATGAAATTTTGTACAGCAAGAAGTGTAAAAAAGTGAGAAACTATGTCATATTCATAAGTTGAAAAAGCAAACTCCAAATCAGTGTGTGCTTTTTGGCATTCCTTTTATTAAAATAGTATATTGACACACTTTTAAAAAGAGTTTACTTGAAAATAAATCAAAATTAACAGTTGATAGGCTTATGTATATTTCATTTTGTGTGTGTGTTTTAGTTTTCTGCATTGACCCTTTATTACATTTGGAATCAGGTAAAAAAAAATTTTTTTTTAATCCAACCTGTATATCAACTACTCTTTTGTTCACAGAATGGTGGAAATAGAACCTGTATCACATATGGTTAATGTATGAGGATGGTAAGGAAAGAAATCTCTTCATGTAAACCTCAGACGTATCTTCTGTAATTATAGAACTTTGTATATATTTTGAACAATTTTATATCTGAGATGTATTAAAGATTTTCTAGGCTCAGCAAGCTATGGAATTTCTGCTTCCTCCCAGATCAGCACAACGTTTGGATTTTTGGCAGAGCATACCAGATACTAATTGTGAAGGTGATGTATAAAATGAACACCTTAGTATCTTGGGTTATAAAATCCAGAGGCTTCATGATGACAATTAAAGGAGGTATAATTAAGGAGACAGAGAATAGTAAACTCAATGAAGAAGAATTGTCATTTTTGTTATTTCTTATAGTTGTAAAACAGTGATACAACAGAAATGTCTTGTGGCTCCGTGTTGGCACTTAAGAAAACAGATCTACTCACTGTTCTCTGCAGGTACCAGTATGTAATGTTACATGTCAGTTATAGCTGAGTAAAATTGAAAAACACTTCCAATCTATTTCTAGTCTTAGAAGTAAATTCTTTTCTCATGAGAAAATTTAAAAGGAGAAAAATATGACTACTGTTTGGTTTCCTAGTTACAAGTGCTATATTAGATCCAAGAATTGGGTTTTGCTGGAATTTTGTTTCAGTCAGTGATATTTCTGGGGTTCATCAAGTCATTCTTAATATAAATGAAGCATTTTACATAGTTTTCTTAACTTATTTTGGTTTGACTCAAGGGATGCTCCATTTGAAAGGTTTTTGAGCCTTCTTCCCTATTTTTCTGAGCAAGCTCCATGGGGCAGAGATCGTTTTCTTGCTGTATCTCCAGTGTTGAGATAGTTCTAGACCTATACTAGGTGCTTAACAAATATGCATTAAATACTGGATGAAATAAATGGATGTTGCTGTCAAGTGCTTATAACATATTACTGCTGGTTCTCCCCTAGTGAGGATTTACCAAATCCTGGAAAAATTCTGAGAAATTTTGATTTTAATAATGTTAGGCACTGGGAACAAAGCAGGATTTGTCTCTGAAAGGAATGAGCTACGTGTCTACACAGAAAACTTTCCTGAATCAGGAATGGCGAGCTGACTTCTGAAGTGGATCCACTGTTTAACACTTAGCCTTGAAGAGATCATTTTAGTGACAGAGTTCAAAGGGAGAGTATTGACTGTGAACTTCCTAAGGTTCTGAGAGGCATAGAACTTCAGAGTCAGGCTTTGAGTGAAGTAGGGGCTTAAACACTAGTGGTTCCTCCAAATTCCCCAAAGACTTTGTCAAACGGCCAACAAGAAAATGAGGAGAGAATGGAGAGTATGTCGTTCGTAGACCAGGTTTTGAGCTCTGTAGTAGCTCTCCTGCAAGCTTTAGGAATGGCGGTAAGATGGAAGGAGGTGTCTGGGGATGCCAGTACATAAAACAAAGTTAGATATCCTTTTCCTCCTAAATTGGTTTATTTGCATTTTGTTGTTCAGAGGTGACGTAGCAATATGAAGGGGCCTGTAAATGCTCTCGGAAGAGGCTTTCCCCTCTTTTTTTTGTGTTTTTGTTTCTGGTGTTCAGTCACTAAGTCCTGTCCTTTTCTTTGTGAGCCCATGGCCTGCAGCATGCCAGGCTCCCCTGTCCTTCACTATCTGCCGGAGTTGGCTCAGATTCATGTCCATCAACTAAAAAGATATACAACACGAGAGCTGTGAGTTAAATTTTATTTGGGGCAAAATGAAAACTTCAGCCTGCGAGACAGTACCTCAGATAGCTCTGAGAGCCTTCTCCAAAGAGGCAGTGGGAGAAGGTCAGTGTAAGATTTTGGTGAAGGGAGAGTTCAATGAAATGAAACACTTACTTTGCAAAAGGTTTTCTGCTAGTCACAAGGAGCTGATGTCACCATGAAGAGATTTAGTAATTTTCTAGCCATGAAGAGATGCAAGGACTGGGATCGTGAAATCAGTTCCTGAAAATATCTAGCTACCGATAGACCAGGTTTTGAGCTCTGTAGTAGCTCTCCTGCAAGCTTTAGGAATGGCGGTAAGATGGAAGGAGGTGTCTGGGGATGCCAGTACATAAAGTTAGATATCCTTTTCCTCCTAAATTGGTTTATTTACATTTTGTTGTTCAGAGGTGACGTAGCAATATGAAGGGGCCTGTAAATGCTCTCGGAAGAGGCTTTCCCCTCTTTTTTTTGTTTCTGGTGTTCAGTCACTAAGTCCTGTCCTTTTCTTTGTGAGCCCATGGGCTGCAGCATGCCAGGCTCCCCTGTCCTTCACTATCTGCCGGAGTTGGCTCAGATTCATGTCCATCAACTAAAAAGATATACAACAGGAGAGCTGTGAGTTAAATTTTATTTGGGGCAAAATGAAAACTTCAGCCTGGGAGACAGTACCTCAGATAGCTCTGAGAGCCTTCTCCAAAGAGGCAGTGGGAGAAGGTCAGTGTAAGATTTTGGTGAAGGGAGAGTTCAATGAAATGAAACACTTACTTTGCAAAAGGTTTTCTGCTAGTCACAAGGAGCTGATGTCACCATGAAGAGATTTAGTAATTTTCTAGCCATGAAGAGATGCAAGGACTGGGATCGTGAAATCAGTTCCTGAAAATATCTAGCTACCGGA